TGTTGGCTTTCCTCGTCAACCCAATGTGGTCCCCTTCCTGGGGAGGGGGGACAGAGACACATGGAGGGACCCGAGACCCCCCCCCCAAATCCTTAAGGTGGTCCCAGAGGTGTTTGGGTTCCTCCCAACCCCCTCCCCACAACGGGGCTGGAGGGGTTTAGGGAAAAACGTGGGGATATTTGGGGCCCTTCCCCTGAGATGAGATGGGTTTAAGGAGGGGATGGGGGTCCTGGGGGGAGGCGATTTGGGGGTTGCCCCATAATTTGAAGTCCTGGGGAGATTTGGGCACCCTATGTAGACACCAAAGGATTCCAGGGGAGCAATTGCAGCCCCCACCTTCCCAAAACTGGGAAACCAGTTGAGGTGGGAGGGGGCAAATATGGGGGTTCCTGAAATGATTTGGGGGTAGGGGAGGGTTGGGGCTAAGAAGGATTTCATGCCCCCAAAGGCCACAAGGGGGGGATTTGGGGGCTGGGAGTATCACACTGTCCTTCCTTGTGTACATAGGGGTGGGAGGGATATTGGGGACCCCCCCCCTTCCAAAATGTGAGGGGTGCAGGGGGGGCACCTGCAGCTCATCCAGGCTGAACTCGCAGTACTCGCGCCGCGTCCCTTTGCCGTTGGTGAGGATCCCACAACCACTCATCATGATGGTGCCTAATTTGAGGAGGGAGCAACTGTTAATTAGGAGTGTGTGTGTGGGGGGGGTCGTTAATTAGCCATGGAGGTGTTAATTAAAGGAGGGCACCCACCAGAGCGAAGGTTGGTCATGGTGGCAGGATACTCCAGGCTGTTGGGGTTGTGTGCTGTCACCCCGATCTCGATGGAGCCGGACCACTTGTCCACCAGTTTGTCGATGCGGATCTGAGGGGGGAGGTGGGGGGCAGCGTTGGGACCCCCCACCCCAAATACCCCATGGCCCCACCTGGTTTCCTTGGGGTCCCCCCTTGCACCCCCCAGGATCAGCTCAGTTCTCTCTAGGACCCCCCGGACCTCTTAAAATCCCCCCAGTCCCCCTCCAGGACCTCCTAGATGCTCCTCAATAACCCCCTAGGATCCCCTAAAAGCTATTCAGGACCCCTCAATAACTCCCTAGGACTC